GGATTGGATTTATCCGCTACATTTAATCCATTTTGTATAGTCCTAAAGATAAATCCACAAATCATAGTTAAATAAAATAATTTAGTTATATAATAGAAGCAAACGCAAAACATGGCAGACAAGGGCATTAATAGTTTGTTACTTCCGGATAGTGAATATGAATATTGCAAACAAGCGGCTGCAATCAACCCAGCATATGCAAACCACTTTCCATATTTGTGTCAACAATTTCAAAGAACCACCTGTTAATCTGCCAAGACGTGACAGGGAGCACCCACTTGTTAATCTGCCAAGACGTGACACGGAGTACCCATCTGTCAATCTGTCAAGACGTGACACGGATTACCCACTTGTTAATCTGCCAAGACGTGACAGGGAGTACCCATTTGTTAATCTGCCTAGACGTGACAGGGAGTACCCACATGTTAATCTGCCTAGACGTGACAGGGAATACCCACATGTTAATCTGCCAAGACGTGACACGGAGTCCCCATCTGTTGAATCTGCCAAGACGTGACACGGAGTACCCATCTGTTAATCTGCCAAGACGTGACACGGAGTACCAACATGTTAATCTACCAAGACGTGACAGGGAGCACCCACTCGTTAATCTGCCAGGACGTGACACGGAGTACCCATCTATCAATTTGCCAAGACGTGACAGGGAGTACCCGCTTGTTAATCTGCCAAGATGTGACAGGGAGTACCCATCTGCAATTTGCCAAGACGTGACAGGGAGTACCCACATTGTGAATCTGTCAAGACGTGACAACGGAGTACCCACATGTTAATCTGCCAAGACGTGACAGGGTGTACCCACCTGTTAATTTGCCAAGACATGACAAAGAGTTCCCACCTGTTAATCTGCCAAGACGTGAAATGAAGTACCCACCTGCTAATCTACCAATACGTGACAGGGAGTACCCACCTGTTAATCTGTCAAGACGTGACAGGGAGTACCCACCTGATAATCTGCCAAGGCGTGGCACGGATTATCCATCTGTCAATCTGTCAAGAAGTGACAGAGAGTACCCACCTGTTAATTTGCCAAGACATGACAAAGAGTTCCCACCTGTTAATCTGCCAAGACGTGACATGAAGTACCCACCTGCTAATCTACCAAGACGTGACAGGGAGTACCCACCTGTTAATCTGTCAAGACGTGACAGGGAGTACCCACCTGATAATCTGCCAAGGCGTGGCACGGATTATCCATCTGTCAATCTGTCAAGAAGTGACAGAGAGTACCCACCTGTAAAACTGCAAAGACGTGACAGAGAAAACCAGTCTGTTAATCTACCAAGACGTGACACGGAGTATCCATCTGTCAATCTGTCATGAGGTGACAGGGAGTACCCGCCTGTTAATCTGCCAAGACATGACACGGAGTACCCTCTGTTAATCTACCAAGACGTGACAGGGAGTACCCACTTGTTAATCTGCTAAGATGTGACACAGAATACCCGCCTGTTAATCTGCCAAGACATGACACGGAGTACCCACATGTTAATCTGCCTAGACGTGACAGGGAATACCCACATGTTAATCTGCCAAGACGTGACACAGAGTACCCATCTGATAATCTGCCAAGACGTGACAAACGGAGTACCCACCTGTAAATCTGCCAAGACATGCCAGGGAGTACCCA